GGCCACAGAGTAAAGTAGAGGTGTTAAGGAGAGGATACAGTGACTTTGAAAGGGGAGGTGGTTTGGGGAGTCTAAGTTTTGGACACCATTGGGAGAGATTTGAGTGACTGTGGTCAAACCCCTCGATGAAGGTTTGGAGTCCGTAGGAGAAATGGGGGAAACTGGAACCAAGAGTGGGGACTGTTATAGGGATGAAGAGGGAAGACCATGGATTGGGGTAATGAAGGAATGACAGAGATAGGGACAGATTGAAGGGACCAGTGGCCAGCAAGCTGAGGGGCAATTGGAATGGCCAGTCTGGAGTAGGAAGGGCATGTGTGTGGGAGGGGGAGTAGATGGAACTGGGAAAATGAGCAGCCTGAACAGACACAGGGAGTTGCAATTGGATGGGTGGTGGAACTGGGGCTGGGAGATAGTGAGGGGTCTGTTCCTGTGGCTCTTGGTAGAGGTGGAGGAGACTGCAGGGGTGGAGGTGTATGGAGATAGGGATGGAGGTGGACAGGGGGAGTGGGGTGTGAAGCTTAGGGAAAGGTGATGGCTGAGGGGAAGAAGGGAACTGAGAAATGTTGGGTCGGGTGATGGAAGGAGATGAAAGGTGGGGGAAGGTGACCAGGCCCTCTGGGGGGAGGGGAGGTTGGGTCCCAGTCTGGCCGCAAGCCGGGCCGTGGGAGGGAGACAAGCTGTGGATCCTGATTATAAATGCAGCTTCTGCTACCCCCGTGACAGGCTCGGAGGGAGAGAAGGGGGTAAGGGAGGTGGGAGGTTGGGAGGAAAGCAGGGAGAATGGAGGAACTGAAGGTCAAGGGAAAACTGGATTCAGGAAGTAGCTAACTTCTGAGGAGTTGCAGAAGAGCTGAGTAGGGTTTGGGAGAATTCTCAGGAAGGTGTTTCAAGACAAATGGAGGGAGAAAAGAGGGTGGGACGGGAAGGAATGAGAGAGAGAGACTGGGGGAGAGAAGGGAGAGATCCAGTCACCAAGTGTGGAGGGGCCGGGGCAGAAGGTGGGCAGGCTGAGGGGGGAAAGGGAGGCCCGCCCTTCCTGGGAGGGGGCGGAGGGGGGTAGAGGGAGGGGAAGGGCGGCGTGGGCCAGGGAGGTCTGAGACACCCCCACCTCCCCTAGATACACCCGCTACTGATCCGGGACCGGAGGAGCGAGTCCAGTCGCAACAAACTGCTGAGACGCACAGTCTCCGTGCCGGTGGAGGGGCGTCCCCACGGCGAGCATGGTACGGCGGCCGAGCAGGCTCTCATGCCCCGGACAGGCGAGGGGAGAGGGCTGAAGGTGGACGGGGCTGGCGGGGCGGGGGCGTCGGGGAGCTGCGGGAGCTGGCCGGGGGCGGGAGAAGGTGGAGACAAAGTCTCGCTTCCCGAGGGGAGATGGCGCCCTCCTCTGGAAGGTGGAGCGGGACAGGGGCTGTGGGTGAGAGGCCCCTGTAGGTCCTCGCTCGGCTTCGCTCCCTTTCTCCTCTCCAGCAATGAAGTTTGACTATTTTCCTGGTGCTTGTAAAAATAGTCTCCTTAGATCTTTAGCTTCCAGTCCATGTGTTCCTGCCCCTGCCCCTGCCCCTCCCAGCCCCTGGTCTGGGATCTTGGAAAGAATGACCTAGTTCCTGCCCTCCCCCCAGACCTCTGCCCCACCCCTATGCTCCTGATTCTTCTTCCGGACCTTCAGTCCTTGAGGTCTCCTTTTCTTGCCCCCTTTTTTTCTTCTTTCATTAGCTGCTTCTATTTTCTGCAATTGTATCACCCCCTTTCTCTTTCCTCCCTGATTTCTCTTATTTTCTGTACCCTTCTTGATTACCCCGTCCCTCCCCTCTGCTCCCGGCGAAAGTCCATCAGACTCCCATCTCATCTCCTTTCTGTCTGTAGAGCTATCTGCTCGGTCTGTCTCTCCAACTCTCTCCCTCTCTCCATCTGTCTCTTCCCCTCCCTCCCCCTTTCTGCCCCCCCCAACCCCCTCTTTAGTCATTTAAAAAAAGATTTTTGTCTTCCTGAGAAGTTCGCTTAAAAGGTTTCCATGGGAACAGTGAGGGGAGATGAAGGCAGAGAACAGAGATCTGCAGCCAAGGTGCAGAGAGACGCCCTCAGCCCCCGGAAACCCCCTCGTCACTGCCCCCTTCCACTGCATTTCCCTTCCCGGACCCAGCGATCCAGGTTCCCCATTCCTCCAACCCCCGGGTGACCCCTTTTTCCCACCAGCTCCCCCTCCCCTCAGGAATTCAGGCTACCAGTTTCTTTCCCTTAGAGAGCCGGTGACCTGTCCCCATCCGTTGGCTCCTTCCAGCCTTCTGCTAGGTCCAGGCCCTACTAGCCTTGTGGGCCGGTTTGGAGACCTTGGGTGGGTGGGTGGGTGGGTGGTCAGGGATGTGTGTCATTGTCATGGAAACCCCATACCATGGGGGTGTGTGGGTAGCACATCTCTGTGAGGCAAAGTCAGGTGGTGGTGGAGTGTATACAGAGAATGTGTGTGATGTCTGTCACATCTGTGTGTGTATGTATATGTGTGTATGTCATGTTCGTGTCTGGGGAAGATGTGTGTGTTTGTGTGCACGTGTGTATACCTGCGTTTCCAGGCCAGAATGGTCACATGCTCACAGAGCATGTTTATCATGTGTCCTGTGGTTGGCAGATCTGCCCACTTATTTCCCATCTTTCTTCTCCTCATCCTGAGTCCTCAGGGTCTAGGGGTCTCTGGCGGGGGTCTCCCGTGTGTTTTGGGTGGGGACACCGTGTGTGTTTGGAGTTGAGGTGGCACGTGGAGGTTGCTGTATTGGGGTTCACTAGGGGCTGGGAGGGGTTCCAGGGGCATATGTATTTGGGGGGAGGGCTTAGTGAAAGTTGATAGGGGGTGAACATTTAGGGTCTTCAGGGAAACATGGAATGTGTAAAGGGCATAGAGGATGTGCAGTGGACACGGGTCGTTGGAACCTTGGGGACTTGGCTATGCAAAGGTGTTTGCTGAGGCTGTGGACTCTCCAGCCCGGGAGAGGTCGCCGGACCTTTGAGGGGCATTGGAATCCAGGGCTCCTCCTCTGCTGGGTGGAGCCGCGAACCCTCGTTCTCTCCGCGGTTTTGTGTGTGTGGGGGGGTCCTGCTCAGGAGGGGATGGTGGGTGGCCTGGTTTGTTTTGGGGGTCCCCTTGCCCCCCTCCCCCGTCTCTCTCGCGCTGTCTCCGGGCGACGGGGCTCGTGACAGAGGCGGCCACGGCAGCAGCGGTCGCCTAGCAACGGCGGCGGGGCCCGGGCAACGGCGGCAGCGGCGGGAGCGGCGGCGGAGGGAGCCGTTCCCGCGGCCGTCACCGCGCGGCCGTCCCGGCCGTCCCGGGCCCCGCCGCCGCCCTCACCGCGCCGGGCGGCGCGAGCCGGGCCGTACCGCCCCCTCTCACTCCGCACCCCGCCCTTCCCCCGCGCAGGGGCGGGGCCCCTCCCCCACCGGGGACACCCCTGACCCCCCCCCGGGGGGGCGGTGCGAGGTAAGGGCGGGGCCAGGCGGTCTAGGAGCGCGCGTGGGGGGGGAGGCCGCCGCGCGCGTGGGGCGGGGGCGCGCGTGTGCGTGGGCGCGGGGAGGGGGGTGGGGAAGCCGCGGTGGCGGCGGCGGCGGCGGCAGCTGCTCCCTCCGCATGTTCTCGCTGCATCTTCCGAGTGGGGGGAGTTATGGTAACCGGAGGGGGACAGCGGAGGTCGGGAGGGTCGGGGACCGGCCTCGTGCGGACAGGGTCTTGAGCACGCGGGGGCGGCCGGTGTGTGTGCGATCTTGGAGCCCCTGGTGGAAGGGGCAGCCCGTGTGTCCGCATGTGTGTTCGTGCCCATGCTCGTGTCTCCTGTGTGTCGGTACCATGTGCACACCGGGGCCCAGTTCCTCGTGCAAACATGTGCAGCCAGCCTTGTGCAAGTGTGTCCTGTCTTATCCTGCCTCTGCCTGTTTCCTGCCTAGGGGGCTGTTGGGCCAGCCATGGGCTTGTGGGGCAGTTCGTGGCCATGCTGGTCCATGTCACCTCTGACCCTGAGCATGCATATCCCTGGCTGGGGCTCACCTCCTGTCAGCCTTCTGTGTGTGGGAATGTGTGGCCCTATGAGCAGGATTTTCTGTGTCCCTGGTGGCAGGTGTGTGTCTTTGCATGTGTGTTCCAGCACTGGCCTGAGTATCTGTGTCAGTCCCAGCATGGGTGTCCAGGGCGTGTCTGGATGTGGGTGGTGTGGCGGGGGGGAGTGTGTGAATGTGTTCCTTGGAATCCTACTGTGTATGAAACACCTTTGGGCCGGGCAGGTGTAAGCCCTGCTTGGTCAGTAAGTGGGGACAGAAAAGCTCAAAAAGGGAAGAAATGGGGTAAATAGGAAAAGTGGGGAGGGAATAGGAGCGAAGGAATGAGAGAGGCTTGAAGAAGAGAGCAGAGAGCAGGCCAGGGAGAAATAGCTGGAGAATGGGAATGTGGGAGAAAGCCGAGCCAGACTTAGGAGAGAACAGGGGATAAGAGCTTAAGATGGGGAACTGGATAGAGATAGTGGGAAAAGAAGGGGTCTGGGAGCTGGGAAGGCAGTGGGGAGGAGAGAGTCAGGCCTTCTGGTAAAGTCATCTCTGAAAGAAGAAAGGGAAGAAGATGGGAGAAGGCACTGGATTCTTGTAGGCCTTGTAGGATCAGGCTTGGTTTTGGATCAGGGAAGGCCACTCAGGCATACGGGCTGGCTCACAGTGAGGCCTGTCATGGCAGGGACTGTCATTAGAGGTTCATATGCCCAGCACAGAGCTCTGTCTCCCATTTCTCTGCTCTGTGTCCAACCCTGTTCTTCGCCCTTCTCTGGCAACCTCCCTCCCCTGGCTCCCCTTGAGAGCTGCCAGCTGGGTGTGGAGAGGAAGAAAGGCCAAGGAAAGGTTAGGGATTTGGAGGGCAGGGGGAGATTCTGTGGGTGATGGCAAGATTAGAGATGTTGGAGGGGCAGGAGTCCAAGCCCTTGCTGTGTGTGTGAGTGCCATTGTGTGTGTACACAGGGTGTGTACATGTGTGGGTGTGTGCACAATGCCTGTGTTACGGGTTTGTGTAGGTGGCTGTTATGTGTGTGCATGCGTGTATACATCGTGCAGGCATGGGACATGGAGACCCAGGATCACAGTTTATGCTTTTCAGGTTTGCTGTGTGTGTGTATACACGGGTGTGTGTTATTTTCTCTGTACATGTCACTGCATGCAGCACTAATAACAGGATGTTCAGTGTTTCTGTCACTCTGTCCCCCTTTCCTCTGTGTTTCTGCTATTCTTTTCCTGCGGCAACAAAAGTCTTTAATAAGCGTACGTGTATGTGGCCTCTGTGTTCCTGTGACTTATGAGTGAGTTCATGGATCTTAATTCTTGATAATACGTGTAAGGTTATATTACTTCCAAGAACCAAGCAAGCCAATTAGCAAATTTGTTCTTCTGTTAATGCTTTAGTTCCAAAGCAGAATTTTAATGCATTTAAAGTTAGACTTTATGCCTTTATTAGATGAGCTTGCACATGAAAATAATGGCTGAGCTTGGTTCCCTGAAATGAGAGTGAGGCAGCCATACCTGAGAAATGCAGAAAAATGTTACTAGGGAAGAGATATCCTGAACCATTGGATGCACTGCTTAGTGTGTGCCAGAAGGATAATTAACACATTTGCTCCTGGTTTTTCTTTACTCCGGTGGCAATCTTGGATGCCTGTGTTAGAGTGAGAGAAGGGCTGGGGGAGGAGAGGGGGTTGTCCTGAGACAGAGCGGATATGGTTGTACTTTTCACGTGAATGAAAGGATGTTTGTGCTTCTGAGATATGGGGATACCTTTCTGTGGTCAGCATCATGGTGTACTCAAGCATGTATTTCAGGGGTTAAACTGGAATTCCCCTGCATGGGGATATGCGCGTCTTAGGGTTATAGGTCCATTTCTGTAGTGTGCTGTCCACATGATTGCCCAAGAGACTTGGGCCACAAAGTCCACACGAGCAGCTCTCATGTGGGTAACTGGGTTCAAGTATGTACTCCCTTGTTGTAGTACTCACATATGTCAAAGCATGTATCCTGTGGGGTGTGTGGGCCTTAGGGTCTCAGAATGTGGATCCGTGCTATGCCCGTGCTCACAGTTGTCTGTATGTCTCAAAAGCACATAGATCCCCAGTTATTTTTTTGTATTGTGGTTCTCATATACACGTACCACTACAGCTCAGTGTATGTTTCTGTACTATACACCTGTTCCTGAGGGAGTGATAGGGTTCTCGTGTCATGGGGTCCACCACCTGGGTTTTACAGGTAAAGGGGAGCTGGGGACTGATTCTAGGGCAGTTTGCAGGCAATTTGCAATTCTGGAAGCAGACAGTGAAAATATAATTGTGGTCCTCCCTTGTTCTGTTCTGGAACCTAGAGGGTTAACAGGCAGCTCTTCCGGTCCACCCCCCTCCTTCCAGCCTGTAGCTTCTTGTTGCCGTGGAGATGCTGGCCCCGCCCCTGATGCAGCACCTGCCCCCCCATTGGCTGCAGTGGTGACTGTGGGGCTGAGGGGGGAGCCCAGGCCTGGGCAGCCATTCTGGAGCTGGAGCCGGAGCTTGGCATCCCCCCACTTACATTCTCTTCCAGCCCCTCGGCCCCTCTAAATTCCCTTGTAGCCGAGCCTCAGCTTCCTTTTTCAGAGCTTGCCATCCCTCTAGGCTCTTGGCAGGCTGAGCTGCATCCGCATTCACCTCCCCTCCTCCTCCTCTCCCTGCCCTTACTTGGGAGTCCCCAGAACCCCCACTGCCCATCCTTCCTGTTCCCTGCCCACTCCCCTGCATTATTTGCTTTTCCCCTCCCCCACCTTCTGAGCCCCTGCCACTGCAGTGCACGTGGAACCGGCTCCTTCTCCCCTCCCCCCACCTGCCCCTTCCTTGGATTTTCTGTCCCCGGCTTCTCCCCCTGCTACTCTTCACAGGTCTCTTCCAAGACCTCCCCCTCCAGTCCAGGGAGGGGGTCATGGGAGGCAGCCCTGGCCCTCCAGACAGACAGGGGTTCCAGGAGGTGGGGGGCAGATGGAAGATGTGTCCAGCAGGGGGAAGAGGAAAGCCTGCCTATGGGCAATGACCTTTAACCCATCTTTCCCCCCAGCTGGCCCCTTCTGGGGTGGGTGGGCACCAGGGACCTAGCCTCCCTGGATCTTTGGTGTCCTTCATTACTGGGGTTTTACTGACCCTCTCAGCCATGCCCCCCTGCTGACTGCTAGCCCCAGTCATGGGCCTAAGGCCTCCCACCCCATCCCCCTCAGGGGGCTCCTGCTCAGGTTCCTTGCCCCCTCCTTCCCGCTGCCAGCCTCTCCGCCGTCGCTGCTCTTCCTGCTGCTTTCCGGGGGGTAGGTGAGGCCGGAGCTGAAGGGCAGAGGGAGGTGGGGGCATGCACTGGGGTCAGGGGTGGGAACCTGGGTTAACAGCTTCCCTCCTGGCCCCCTCCCCAACTTCCCTTCTGGCCCTTTTCTCCCCTCCAGAATACCACTTGGGTCGCTCGAGGAGGAAGAGTGTCCCAGGGGGGAAGCAGTACAGCATGGAGGGCGCCCCTGCTGCGCCCTTCCGGCCCTCGGTGAGTGGTGCCTACCAGATGTGGCTCAGCTGGGCCCCCTCCCCTGAGCCCCAACTCGGGCCCTAGGAGTCTGAGAAAGAGGGCAGGAGGGGGAAAGAGGGAGTGAGATTGAGAAAAAGAGTGTGTGTGTGTGTGTGTGTGTGTGTGTGTGTGTGTGTGTCCCCACCTCTTTGGTTTCCCCCTTCTTGGCTCTGCCCCTCTGCTTCTGAGACCAGCCCTCCCACTTTCTCCAAGCTCTGTGTGTGTGTGTGTGTGTGTGTGTGTGTGTGCACGCGTGCTTGCACTGTACCTGTGGGAGCAAGGAAGACAAACTGGTATTAGGGTTCCTATCCCCCTTTCCTCGCCTCTGGAGACTTCCCTTTTCCCCATCCCACTTTCATCCAGGGACTATCTACCAGCTGAGGGATGAGTAGGTAGAACTGACCCTGCCCCAACACACCCCATCCCCATTTCCCCCCCAGCAAGGCTTCCTGAGCCGACGGCTAAAAAGCTCCATCAAACGAACGAAGTCACAACCCAAACTTGACCGGACCAGCAGCTTTCGCCAGATCCTGCCTCGATTCCGAAGTGCTGACCATGACCGGTACAGGGGCTGGAGCATGTGGGATGAGATCAATGTAATGTAGGGTCTCTTGTGTGAGATGCAGAGGGAGGGGGTTATCTGTGTGCAAAGGTTGAAGGATTCAACTCAAGTTGGTTGGGGGATGTCACGGGGCAGGGGACAGAACAGAAAATAACTAGAATAGGGATCTGTGAGTAGCAGGAGAAGGGTAGGGTGGCAGAGAGAAGACAGAGAGGCTGGAAAGGGAATGAAGGTGAAGCCAAGTAGTGACTCCTCAGGGACTACTCAGGCCAAGAAGGATGGGCTCTAGCCCAGGATCAAAGGAGCTGTACAGGAGGAGAGTGACCCTGGAGGAGCGTTTAAGGAATGCAGGGAAGGGGTTGGTAGGTCAGTGAGCAATAGGCTCTAGGTGGAAGGGTGTCAGGGAAGGTCAGGAAATACAGGGCAGCAGGTTGGAGCGGGGCTGGGGGTGGCTGAATGAATGGATGATGGCTAGGGCTCAAGGACCTCATCAGTGAAGGAAGAGACAGTATAGAGCATGGCAGAGAAGGGGAGTCTGGGACAGGTGTGCAGGGTGACAGAATGGGGAGCAATCCATGGACTGAGGCATGAAGAAGCAGCCTGTAGAGACGTCCAGAAGGCAGTGGCCCTGAGGCCAGGCTGAAGGAGACCTCCACTGTTTGCCTTTGTTGTCTGCCATTTGGGGTTCCTATCTGGGTTTCCCCCTCACCCAGTCACTCCCTAGGGAGAACCATGCCCTCCCTTTCCACCACGTCTGGCCACCCACAGGATTGGGCAGGTAGGGAGGTTGGGATAAAGTGAGTTACACCTTTCCCTGCCCCCCTCCCATGTTGCCAGAGCTGGATTTGGGGCCGGCAGGGGGTGAGGGCATGGTATTCCTGGCCGCGGGGGCGGGGGGGCCGGGGGCCGGGGGAGCGTCGCGCTGACGGCAGCCAGAGCCTGCGATGACGGGGCTGCTATAAATAACTTCTTGGAGGCTCCCACACCCGAGCTCCCCTCCCGCTTTCCCACTGCTCTCTACTCTTCATCCCCTGCCCATCTCCATACCGCTTGCTATCCTACCCCTCATTATTCCATGCCCCCAGTCCCCTTTATCTTCTGCCCTCCTGCAGTGATTTTTTTGCATTCCATCCCCTCTTAGCCCCCACCTCGGTTCTCCTGGCCACGTCTCCAGTTGGCCCTCCTCCTCTTCTCCTGTCCTCTGTCTTGCTGCACATACCTTTGTCTTCCCCTTTCTCCTTGCCCTACCTTCTCTTCTTCCCTAGTCCCCATATTCTGTCTTTTATCCTCATTCAGCTCTTTTTTGCCCTTAGCTTTCTCCTGTTTCATATGCTTTTCCCTCACTCTTTCCCCTGGTTCTGCTAAAACTTGTCCTCTTATGCTATGTTCATTCATTCTTTGAATCATTAAATGTTTATTAGGCACTTTTTGAATCATTAAATGTTTATTAGGCACTAGCTGTGTGCCAGGCCCAGGCTAGACATATTTCTTTTCTGTGCCATCACTTCTTCCACTTTTTCCTTTATACTGAGGCTCTGGTTTCTGGGGTTACCTGGAGGTACTACCTAGAAGTGCCCCAGGCCCACTTTGTTCTCTCCTTTTTTTTTTCTTTTCTGCCATGGTCCATTTCTGGGTTGAGATATTTCTAGGTATCCCCAGTCCTCACAATCCCTTAGGTGTGAGATGGTTGGAGTTTCTTTTTTTTTTTCCTTTTTTTAAAAATAGAGATAGGGTCTCACTGTGTTGCCCAGACTGGTCTCGAACTTCTGGGCTCAAGTGACCCTCCCACCTCGGCCTTTGAAAGTGTTGGGATTACAGGCGTGAGCCACCAGGCCCAGCTGGAGCAGGGGAGTTCCTTAAAGGATTCTCATTTCTCTCACATCCCTCATGTCCTTCCTGAGATAGGCAGGGTTTCTTTCAGTGCCTGTCTGGGAAGGGTGTTCAGGGGGCCTTCTCTCCAAGTCTCCATCCTGGAACAGACTGATGGTGCAGGATCCCTATGTGTCTAAGAAGAGTAGTGGGGCCGGGCGTGGTGGCTCATGCCTGTAATCCCAGCACTTTGGAAGGCTGAATCACGTGAGGTCAGGAGTTTAAGACTAGCCTGACCAACAGGGTGAAACCGTGTCTCAACTAAAAATACAAAAAAAAAAAAAAACAAAAAAAAAACAATTAGCTGGGTGTACTGAGGCAGGAGAATCGCTTGAGCCCAGGAGGCAGAAGTTGCAGCGAGCCGAGATCACACCACTGTACTCCAGCCTGGGCAACAGAGCAAGACTCTGTCTCAAAAAAAAAAAAAAAAAAAAAAAAAGAGTGGGGGGCCCTGATCCCCGCCTCTCCTGAACCTCCTGCTTGCCAGGGCCCGGCTGATGCAAAGCTTTAAGGAGTCGCACTCTCATGAGTCCTTGCTGAGTCCTAGCAGTGCAGCTGAGGCATTGGAGCTCAACTTGGATGAAGATTCCATTATCAAGCCAGTGCACAGCTCCATCCTGGGCCAGGAGTTCTGTTTTGAGGTACTGGGTCTAGTGGGCTGGGGAGGGCCAAAGGAAAGGGGCAATGGAAGGTGGGGGGCAGAGAGGTCTAGAGAAAGTGGCACAGGTGGGGACATCAAGGAAACAAACTTTTGGGACTGGAAGAAAGGAGGATAGGCCAGGGAGGAAGAGAAAGTAGCAGAGTCTCCTTCCCTTTGTAGCCCTTTCCCTCAACTCCACACTCCTTTCTAGGTAACAACTTCATCAGGAACAAAATGCTTTGCCTGTCGGTCTGCAGCCGAAAGAGACAAATGGATTGAGAATCTGCAGCGGGCAGTAAAGCCCAACAAGGTATTGGGGAATAAAGGGGACATAACCTGTGCAGGGCAAAGGTTGCGCCAACATGGAAAGTTGGGGGCCTAGGGAGGAAAGTGAGTTAAAGGAGGAGAGGCTTGGAGAAGGAGAGGATTGAAGTACAGGGTACCTGGACAAGAAGGGGGAGACCCCCATTATTCTGAGTCCCCCATTTCTTTTCTCTTTCTGTACTTTCTGTACTGCTACCCTGCCTTACGATCTCTTTCCCTGCCATATAAGTCGTAGACTTACAGAGTTGACGGGGCTCTGGAAATCCTTTAGTCTAGCTTCCCTGCAGGCAGGAATGCTTCACTAAAACCCCGCAGGACACATAAAATACACTTAGCCAAGTCTCTGTACCTTGGTTTCCTCTCTAAGACAGAGGGAACTGTCTTAGGGTTGGATTAAATGATCTCTAAGTTCCCTTTGGCACATAAATTCTGTGAGTCTGTGTTCTTCCCAAAACTTCATGCTTTCAGTTCTGTCAGCTATTCTCTGTATCCCAGTTTCTAGCAAGCTTACAGTCGTAGTCACCCTCCTCTGGGGGGAACTCTTGTGTCTTGATGTCCTTAAAGAACTCAACCCAAGATGCTGACATGATCTGACCTATGCAGAGTACAAACACCATGTTCTTTTTCCACACACTGCAATATCACCTGAGCCTTCCCATTAGCTTGTGCTCAATTGTATCCCCCCAGGCCCTTATACCAACTGTCAAGCCTTACTCATTCTTTTTTTTTTTTTATTTTTTTTTTTTGAGACTGAGTCTTACTCTGTCACCCAGGCTGGAGTGCAGTGGTGTGATCTTGGCTCACTACAACCTCTGCCTCCCAGGTTTAAGCCATACCTGTGCCTCAGCCTCCCCAGTAGCTGGGATTACAGGCATGCACCACCACACCTGACTAATTTTTGTATTTTTAGCAGAGACAAGATTTCACCATGTTGGCCAGGCTAGTCTCAAACTCCTGACCTCAAGTTGTCTGCCTGCCTCAGCCACCCAAAGTGCTAGGATTACAGGCATAAGCCACCACACCTGGCCAAGCTTTACCCATTCTATATACAATTCTTTTTTCACAATTTCTGATAGTCTCTGCAGGACTTTCCAGTTCCCTTTAAATTCTACATTAATATTTTTGGCTTGTTATTCCAGCTTTAAAACTCTTTCCAATACTGTTTGTGTTGTCTAGTGTATGAACTACGCTTCTAGAGTAGTTTCCTGGGGCTGCTATAACAAACTGCTACAAACTTGGTCACATTAAACAACAGAAATTTATTCTTTCACACAGTTCAGGAGACTGGAAGTTCAAAAGCAAGGTATCAGCAGGGCCATGCTCCTTTTGATGCTGTAGCAGGGAATCCTTCCTTGCCTCTTCCTAGCTTCTGGAGGTTGCCAGCAGTCCTTGGCATTCCTGGGCTTGTAACTGCATATGTCTAGTTTCTGCCTCCATCTTCATGTAGCTGGCTTCCTTTTGTGTGTCTCTGTATCCTGTATCTCTATGTCTCCAAATCTCCCTCTCCATATAAAGACATCAATTTTTATAAGGTGGATTAAGAGTCAACTCTAATTCAGTATGGCCTTTTTTTTTTTTTTTGAGATGGAATTTCGCTCTTGTTTCCCAGGCTGGAGTGCAATGGCATGAGCTCAGCTCACTGCAACCTCCGCCTCCCAGGTTCAAATGATTCTCCTACCTCAGCCTCCCGAGTAGCTGGGATTACAGGCACGTGCCACTATGCCCAGCTAATTTTTTCTGTATTTTTATTAGAGACAGGGTTTCACTATGTTGGCCAGGCTGGCTCGAACTCCTGACCTCAGGCGATCCACCACCTCAGCCTCCCAAAGTGCTGGGATTACAGGAATAAGATACCGTGCCTGGCCTCTTCTTAATTTGATTACATTTGCAGGGATCCTGTTTCCTAATAAGATCACAGTCACAGGTTCAGGGTAGACATGAGTTTTGGTGGGATACTGTTCAACCCAGTACACCGTCTCACCTATGATTGCTGTCTGTATCCCACTTTCTTACTGTCTCTCCTCTTTTGGTGTCTCTCTGTCCCTTCCCCCTTTAACATCGTGCCCACCCCACCATGCCAGGACAACAGCCGCCGGGTAGACAATGTGCTAAAGCTGTGGATCATAGAGGCCCGAGAGCTGCCCCCCAAGAAGCGGTACTACTGCGAGCTCTGCCTGGATGACATGCTGTATGCACGCACCACCTCCAAGCCCCGCTCTGCTTCAGGGGACACCGTCTTCTGGGGCGAGCACTTCGAGTTTAACAACCTGCCGGCTGTCCGTGCCCTGCGGCTGCATCTGTACCGTGACTCAGACAAAAAGCGCAAGAAGGACAAGGCGGGCTATGTCGGCCTGGTGACTGTGCCAGTGGCCACCCTGGCTGGGCGCCACTTCACAGAGCAGTGGTACCCTGTAACCCTGCCAACAGGCAGTGGGGGATCTGGGGGCATGGGCTCGGGAGGGGGAGGAGGTTCGGGGGGCGGCTCAGGGGGCAAGGGCAAAGGAGGTTGCCCGGCTGTACGGCTGAAAGCACGTTACCAGACAATGAGCATCTTGCCCATGGAGCTATATAAAGAGTTTGCAGAGTATGTCACCAACCATTATCGGATGCTGTGTGCAGTCTTGGAGCCTGCCCTGAATGTCAAAGGCAAGGAGGAGGTTGCCAGTGCACTAGTTCACATCCTGCAGAGTACAGGCAAGGCCAAGGTGAGTGTTGTGCCCTCAGGGAAAGGTGACTTGGGAATGGGCACTTGCTTGGGGGTTAGTGAGGACAGGGCAAATTCACGAGATTGGGTTGTGCAGAGGCTGACACTTGGATTTTCCTGGGCCTCAGGACTTCCTTTCAGACATGGCCATGTCTGAGGTAGACCGGTTCATGGAACGGGAGCACCTCATATTCCGCGAGAACACGCTCGCCACTAAAGCCATAGAAGAGTATATGAGACTGATTGGTCAGAAATACCTCAAGGATGCCATTGGTATGGCCCACACTTAGGCCCTCTTCTTCCCAAACCTGCCAGATGTCCACCCCAGATCCCAAGTCCACGCTTCCACAGCTTGATACTTCCTAACCCAGAGTCCTAGGACTCCAGCCTCCAACACCTGATTCTGAAATTTCCCCAACCCTGGCCACCCCCTTCCCTGCCCTTGAAAAGTGTGACCACACCCTCTTGTGCCGCCACCCTCCAGGAGAGTTCATCCGTGCTCTGTATGAGTCTGAGGAAAACTGCGAGGTAGACCCTATCAAGTGCACAGCGTCCAGTTTGGCAGAGCACCAGGCCAACCTGCGAATGTGCTGTGAGTTGGCCCTGTGCAAGGTGGTCAACTCCCACTGGTGAGACTGGGAACGCTGGGCTGGGGGGCCAGGGTCGGGGGAATTATGTGTTCATCTGTTCATCTATCTGTCCATCCTCAAAGAGGACTGAGAACCATTTATGGGCAAAGCATTGTTCTAGGCACTATAGAGCAAACAGGTGAAAGAGGCCTGGTCCCTGCCCTCAGAGGGCCTCCACCAGAATGAGTGGGGACAAATTAGGAAAAAAAAAGCCACAGAGTCATAATGGTGTGTAAGTTCTGAGTAAGGGTCCCCCCACCTCTGTGTGATAGAAGGTCAGAGAGAAGGCAGAGCTTTAATTGAGATAAGCGGGGAAGAGGTGCCCCATTGGGTAGGCTTTGAAGACTGGTTTAGGTTCTGATATGTGGACATAGTTGGCAGGAAAGACATTTCAGAAGAAGGCTGTGAGAAAGGCACATGTGTGATGGTGAAAAGGCCCAGGAGTTATCAGGGGACATTAGAGTAGCTTAGTAGCAATTACATCAGGTTTAGTGGAGCATGTGCCTCATGATGGGGAGTGGTGGGAGAGATGTCTGGGCAGGAAGATTAGCTTTAGAAACTGGAAGGCCTCAAGGAGTCTGAGGTCATTGGTAGGCCTTGGGATGCCATTAAAGGTATCAGAAGTATTGTGATTTAGAAGATTAATCCATAGGCTGGGCACGGTGGCTCATGCCTGTAATTCCAGCACTTTGGGAGGCCGAGGTGGGCAGACCACTTGAGGTCAGGTGTTCAAGACCAGCCTGACCAACATGGAGAAACGCTGTCTCTACTAAAAATATAAAATTAGCTGGATGTGGTGGTGCATGCCTGTAATCCCAGCTACTTGGGAGGCTAAGGCAGGAGAATCGATTGAACCCAGGAGGCGGAGGTTGTGGTGAGCCAAGATCACGCCATTGCACTCCAGCTTGGGCAACAAGAGTGAAACTCTGTCTCAAAAAAAAAAAAAAAAAAAAAAGATTAATCCATAAGTAGATTATAAATAGTAGAATAGAGGGGTGTATGTGGGGGGATGACTGGAGTAGAGCCAGCTGGGGGTTGGGAGGCATGAAAGTCAGATCCTGAATCAGAACAGTGACAGAGTTAGGAAGGAGCTACTGGAAGGACCCTCTGAGGAAAGGATCAGTAGGAATTGTCAGCGTATTGGAAAAGAGGGAGCATATCTGCGGGGAGTCACGGATGACTCAAGAGGCCATGAGGCTGGTGATTGGGAGACCTGTGGCCTCATTGACAACCAGGAAAGTCAGGAGGAGGAGCCAGTTGGAGGTGTGGGGGTGGTGGTGAGCTCTGCTTTACACCAGTAGAGTTTAAGGTGTCAGTGGGACATTGAAGTGGATCTGGGAGGTGGGGGGAGTGAGCTCTGAGCCATTCCAGGGACTGGGGATCATGCCTGGGGCACCTCCATCCCCATTTCCCTGGAATCCAGAAGAGTTGGGGGGTCCGAGCTCCCTGTACCTCAAGTGACCCTCCATCTCTCTCCCATCTTTGTCTCTCCCTGGTGTCTGTTTTTCTTCTCCTCCTCTCCTTGTCTCTCTCCCACACCCCTCCATCTCTCTCCCACGTGTCTCTCCCCTCACCTTCTCTCCCCCTCCATTTCTCTCTCCCTAATCTGTCTGTTCCCTCTGCCATGGCCCCCTTCTTCAAGCAGCCTCCCATCTTGCTCCTGCGGTCCCTCCTTCCCTGTCTCTCTCACCTCTGTTTCCACACCCTCACCTCCTACCACCCCCCTCAGCATGTTCCCTGGAAGCTGAGGGTCTCTGGGGCTCAGTCCCGGTCTCTCTCTTTCTCTCTCTCTCTCTCTGTCTCCCCGCCCCTTCCCCCCAGCGTGTTCCCGAGGGAGCTGAAGGAGGTGTTTGCTTCGTGGCGGCTGCGCTGCGCAGAGCGAGGCCGGGAGGACATCGCAGACAGGCTTATCAGCGCCTCGCTCTTCCTGCGCTTCCTCTGCCCAGCGATTATGTCGCCCAGTCTCTTTGGGCTTATGCAGGAGTACCCAGATGAGCAGACCTCACGCACCCTCACCCTCATTGCCAAGGTCATCCAGAACCTGGCCAACTTTTCCAAGTGAGGGAAGCTTCAGGAGAGGGCAGGGCAGGGCGTGGCAGGGCTGGGGGTGGGCAAGAAGGGTCTCCTGAGTCCCCAGAGATCCTGAGATGGGGAGGCTATGACACCTTTTCTGTGTGTGTGTCTGTGACCTTTATCTTCTGGATTCTTGGCTAGGTTTACCTCAAAGGAGGACTTTCTGGGCTTCATGAATGAGTTTCTGGAGCTGGAATGGGGTTCCATGCAGCAGTTCTTGTATGAGATCTCCAACCTGGACACGCTAACCAACAGCAGTAGCTTTGAGGGTTACATCGACTTGGGCCGAGAGCTCTCCACACTGCATGCCCTGCTCTGGGAGGTGCTGCCCCAGCTGAGCAAGGTCAGCAGATCCCCTCTTTGCCCTATCCCCAGATGACTCCAGAGGTTCCTGGAGCCTAAGAAACTACCCTTTGAAGATTTTTTTTCTCCCCTTGTTCCCCGAGGTGTCACCACTACCATCCCAGCTCAGACCCCCTCCACCTGTACCCTCAGAGGCCCTCTTAGAGCTGGGCACTGAGCCCCCAGGTAACAGCCTCACCCTTCCAGGAAGCCCTCCTGAAGCTGGGCCCACTGCCCCGGCTCCTCAATGACATCAGCACAGCTCTGAGGAACCCCAACATCCAAAGGCAGCCAAGCCGCCAGAGTGAGCGGCCCCGGCCTCAGCCCGTGGTACTGCGGGGGCCATCGGCTGAGATGCAGGGCTACATGATGCGGGACCTTAACAGGTGAGCACCCTGGGACAGCCAGGCCTGTGCCCTAGGAGCCCTTCTCCTGTTCTAGATACTCCTCATTGGGCCCCACACGCATCTCTCTAGGGCTTGAAAAAAGGAAAAAGCACCAAGTTCTCAGGGAAGACTGGTAAGGAGACAGGTACAGTCAGTGGTAGGCTGAGAGCCCTTTACAGCCTGAGGGAGTGAGAGATGTGGAGCTTTAGGAAGAGGGCTGAGGCTCCACCAACTCACGGCTTAGTTGTAAGCCTAGAGCATCCCTGCTGCAAGCTCTGATTTGCTGTCCCTCTGCTTGCCTATGCTTGTCCCCAGGCTGAGGTTCAACCAGCACGTCATGTCAGCTATGTGTCAAAATATTCAAACATCTCAGTAATAGCTAGTGAATAAGCACTTCCCCTAGCCCCCAACCAAAACCTCACAGACCTCCCCATGATCCAGCACTTAGAGCAGTGGCAGCAGAAGCCTAGTAGGGCCTGCAGCCTGCTCCAGAGTCCCAGCCTCAATTCCCATGGGTGGTGCCCGTGCCTCATTTGCTGCTCATTATTTTGATGATGGCCCTGCTTGTTCCTCTGCCCGTGTCTTCCTCCATGACACCATACCCATGCCACCATTCCCGCCTCTCCTTTCATTTGTCCATATCTTTCTCCTTCTCTGTCTGTGCTCGCCCCTCTTTCCATCTCTCTCCAGCTCCATCGACCTTCAGTCCTTCATGGCTCGAGGCCTCAACAGGTGAGGGGCTCTCCCCTCCCCCGCCCTCCTCTCCTCTCCTGTCTGTTCCCTCTCCTGCTCCACTGGCCTTCGCCCTACTCCTCTCCTCCTCCATGGACCTCATCTCCTCCATATCTGCCCAGCCCTGTCCCCATTCCTTCTCTTGCTGCCCCCATCTCCCCTCCTCTAGGCCTCACCCCCTTCCCGGAGGGGCCCTGTCCTTTCCCTTTACCCACCCGTCCCCTCCCATCCTCCCTGCCTTCCCTCTTCAGGGCTGCCACTGCTAGCTCTCAGCCCTTCCCTCTGGGTCCCACTTTTCACCCCAAGGCCTATGCCAGACCACAGCAAGGCTCAATTGCTAGGAGCCCCAACCTTACCTTCTGCTTGTGTTACCCCTTCCTTTCTGACAGCTCTATGGACATGGCTCGCCTCCCCTCCCCAACCAAGGAAAAGCCACCCCCACCACCACCTGGTGGGGGTAAAGACCTGTTCTATGTAAGCCGTCCACCCCTGGCCCGTTCCTCACCAGCATACTGCACGAGCAGCTCGGACATCACAGAGCCAGAGCAGAAGATGCTGAGTGTCAACAAGAGTGTGTCCATGCTGGACTTACAGGGCGATGGGCCTGGTGGCCGCCTCAACAGCAGCAGTGTTTCGAACCTGGCAGCCGTAGGGGACCTGCTGCACTCAAGCCAGGCCTCGCTGACAGCAGCCTTGGGGCTACGGCCTGCACCTGCTGGACGCCTCTCCCAGGGGAGTGGCTCATCCATCACGGCAGCTGGCATGCGCCTCAGCCAGATGGGTGTCACCACAGACGGTGTCCCTGCCCAGCAACTGCGAATACCCCTCTCCTTCCAGAACCCTCTCTTCCACATGGCTGCTGATGGGCCAGGTCCCCCAGGCGGCCATGGCGGGGGCGGTGGCCATGGCCCACCTTCCTCCCATCACCACCACCACCACCATCACCACCACCGAGGTGGAGAGCCCCCTGGGGACACCTTTGCCCCATTCCATGGCTATAGCAAGAGTGAGGACCTCTCTTCCGGGGTCCCCAAGCCCCCTGCTGCCTCCATCCTTCATAGCCACAGCTACAGTGATGAGTTTGGACCCTCTGGCACTGACTTCACCCGTCGGCAGCTTTCACTCCAGGACAACCTGCAGCACATGCTGTCCCCTCCCCAGATCACCATTGGTCCCCAGAGGCCAGCCCCCTCAGGGCCTGGAGGTGGGAGCGGTGGGGGCAGCGGTGGGGGTGGCGGGGGCCAGCCACCTCCATTGCAGAGGGGCAAGTCTCAGCAGTTGACAGTCAGCGCAGCCCAGAAACCCCGGCCATCCAGCGGGAATCTATTGCAGTCCCCAGAGCCAAGTTATGGCCCCGCCCGTCCACGGCAACAGAGCCTCAGCAAGGAGGGCAGCATTGGGGGCAGCGGGGGCAGCGGTGGCGGAGGGGGTGGGGGGCTGAAGCCCTCCATCACCAAGCAGGTAGGTGAAGGCAGGAGGAAGGCGGGCTGGGTCACAACAGGGAGGGAAGAAGGAGATTGGAGGGGTGGGGTTGGAACAGAGTCTGTGGCCTGAAGTTACAATCTTCTTGCCTCCTTTTGGCCATTAAATGTGTATAGAGGGCCTGCTATGTGCCATGTGCTATGCCAGGCACTAAGGATATGGCACTGAACCCTCTTAGCACTCTCATTCCAGAGGGGATTAATCCATAAGTAGCGTGGGGGTGACTGGAATAGGGCCAGTTGGGGGCTTGGAGGCATAAAAATCAGATCCTGAATCAGAACAGTAACAGGAGAAATTCTCTGGCATTCAACTCACATCTCTGGCATTCAGAGGTGATAAAGGCTACAGCAGGGCAATAGGACTGGGACTGTCATCTCCTTTGGCTGTGCTGTTGCCCTCTAAATGTACCCTGCTTTTTCCTACCTTTCCTTTCTCTGTTCGCCCTCACTGTGCCTTGTCCCAGCATTCTCAGACACCGTCCACATTGAACCCCACAATGCCAGCCTCTGAGCGGACAGTGGCCTGGGTCTCCAATATGCCTCACCTGTCGGCTGACATCGAGAGTGCCCACATCGAGCGGGAAGAGTACAAGCTCAAGGAGTACTCAAAATCGATGGATGAGAGCCGGCTGGATAGGGTACGGTGGGCTCTACCAGCTCCAAGCCCCAATGTTTCCTTTTACCCACAGGGGAGATCTCTAGTCACTTCCAAGGGAAACCTCCAGGGTCAGGTAGTTATGGTAGAAAGAAAAGGCAAAGACGTGATTACCTCTTGAGAAGCCTTCAGTCCATCTGGGGAGACCAGATACACACAGTTGTTAAAAAGTCACTTTCAACTCTATTTTGTAGGTTATATATATCGTAGACTATCTGGGGATCATCTATTTTAGGCTTACCTCCATATTCTTCCCCAGGAGGAACATAAGCCCTGGCTCCTGTGACTGCTTAGGAAAGGAAATGTTACTTTACTGGCAGTAGGAGCTAATAAATTGGGTGGGGATGGAGGGGGATGCAGTTATATTACAAGTGATGTCTGGCCTACCCAGTCACTGTCCCATGGGCATAAGTTACTCAGTGGGCAGAGGATGCATGTGGTAAAGTAGTATGTATTGGTCATGTGTGAAAAGGCCATCCGGACCCTCACTTGGTGGAGGCTGAGGGCAAGGGGCACCAAGAGCTCTGGGGCACACACAGATAACTTAGCAGAAAGTTACTTGAGGAAGCTGTTGCTCCTAGGGCCTGAGGAAGAGGGTGGCTGCAGGATTAGGTCATATATAAACAACATATGACCCTAACATGGGGAAGTGGTTTTTGAGCATAGGAAATGTGGGGACTGACTCAAATGGGCTTGACCAGCAAATTTAATGAGAATTAAGCCCTAATATTAGCCCAAACGCAGCCACCGTAGGAAGTTAATTCACATCTCTCCTCTGCATGTAGAAGGGTTGGTGATACATGTCTGTATCCTCTTCAGAGAATGAGGAAATAGTCTTTTGAATCATTTTTTTTCTGTTCTGTGCTTCAGATGAGGAAACCTTGTTGAGAAAGGCTGTAGACTAGCACTATCCAATACAACTTTCTGCAGTGATGAAATGTTCTGTAATCTGTACTGTTCACATGTGGCTAGTTGTGATTCAGGAACTGAATTTTTAGCTCTATTTAATTTTAATTTTGTAATTTTTCTTAGACAGGGTTTTGCTCTGTCACCCAGGCTGGAGTGCAGTGGTGCAGATGTGGCTTGCTGCAACCTCTGCCTCCTGGGCTCAAGGCATCCTCCCACCTCAGCCCCCTGAGTAGCTAGGACTACAGGGTCATGCTACCATGCCCGGCTGGTTTTTCTTTTTTTTCTTTTCTTTCTTTTTTTTTCTTTTTTTTGTAGAGACGGGGTTTTGCCATGTTGCCCAGGCTGGTCTAGAACTTGTGAGCTCAAGTAATCTACATGCTTCAGCCTCCCAAAGTGCTGGGATTCCAAGTGTTGAGCCACCGTGCCTGGCCTAAATTTTAAATAACTACATGTGGGCTGGTGGCTCTTACATTAGACAGCACAGCTGTAAACTCTAGAGCCAATAGGGCAGATAAAATGACTCTTCTGAACTCTTCCAGCTCTGGAATTCCTAGATTCTCAGTCTAGAATTCACTTGTAGACCCCCTATCCTTGGCTCCTTGACAGAGCCAAGGAGAGGGTCACATGGAGGACAACACCTGCCTTTCCCCCATCAATTGCCTTTTCTTCCTGTGTCTCCAGCATGTGTTCTGGGGCCTGGCTTAGGGCTGAAGAGTCACCCTATTTTTAATTTCTGAGCACAGTTACTCAAGGTGTGCTTGTGAGTCTAGGTTTCTGTGTGGGTCTTCATGAAGTGCCATACATAGACCTCAGGGTGTGGGAGTCTGTGACCTTGCTCTATTTTGAGGGAGCCTCAGCACCATGGCAGGTTCTTCTCAAAAGCAGGTGTGTGGATATGATCCACAGGCAGGGAAGGGGTTGGGGAAGGCAGCTGGATGTCCCTTACCATGCAGTGGCTGTGCTCGGCAGACAGGGATGGAGGCTGGGTGGTGGGCTTGGGGTGGGGCGCCCCTCACAGTGCGGGGTCGTGTGCCCGGCGGGCAGGTGAAGGAGTACGAGGAGGAGATTCACTCACTGAAAGAGCGGCTGCACATGTCCAACCGGAAGCTAGAAGAGTATGAGCGGAGGCTGCTGTCCCAGGAAGAACAGACCAGCAAAATCCTGATGCAGTATCAGGCCCGACTGGAGCAGAGTGAAAAGAGGCTAAGGCAGCAGCAGGCAGAGAAAGATTCGCAGATCAAGAGCATCATTGGCAGGTGAGGGGCGGCCTGGGGAGGGGGTTGTGAGGGAGAGCTTGAGGCTGAAGAAACCAAGTGGGCGAGCGACTACTGACTCCCATCCCAAACTCAGGAGCCCACCAGGAGAGCCCACCAATCTCCTCCCCGGGAAGCCACCCACCCACTATCACCAGATGGAGAGAAACTGCAACCTGCTTAGTGCATTAAATATCCCTTTACTAAACCCTGACCTCTCTTCTGATAGAGTAGCTTCAGAAGCCCTTAGAAAATGTACCTGTTCCTGTCCAACCATCACTGCATTTGCATTCACCCTAGGCCAGGACTCCCCACTGGTTATTCTCAACTTAACCTGTGATGTTCACCCCAAACCTAAGCAGGGCTCCCTAGCCAGAGTAGCCACTGCCTTTCCTGGGCAGACCCTCCCTCTCTAGCCTTGGAAAGGTGTTCTGTAGAAAGGGTCTTTTAGCCTGTGTATGTTTTCAGCTGCTCCAGCAAGCCCTGGGCTCCAAAGAGGGTATCCTCAGCAAAGAGGTCAATTACCTTCAGAGTGGTGGGGTTGCGGGGAGGGGGGTGCCCCTGGGCCCCACTCCAACCAGAGCCACCTCTATTTTGATCCATTCTAAATGTATTTTATGTAAGATTTAATTAGAAGAAAAGGACTTCTTGAAATATTTTTTTAAAACCACTGCTCTAATTGATATCCTTTATGAGAAATCACTTTGAGGATCTTCACAGTGAGGTGACATGGGGGATGCAGAAGCCAGGTCCTCAGCCATGGAAGGTCTGGGGAAGGGGCACTACTGTCCTGATTGGGAAGATGGAGGCCTGGAGGTGTCTGGATGGTAGAAGTCTTTGAGGCACAGAAAGCTGCCTTAGCAGGGAGGTGTAAGGGTTCCTGGGAGGAAGGTGGAGAGCATGATCCTGAGTAACAGGGAGTCTTGTGTCATGGCAATGGAGGGACTCTGATTCTAAGGGATAAGGATGCCTGAGGCTTTTCCAGAGAGCTGTGGGGTTCCATGGGCAGGCTCTGAGCCTGTGCCCGCCACTAACCCCACTGAAGCCCGTCCCTTCAGGCTGATGCTGGTGGAGGAGGAGCTGCGCCGGGACCACCCCGCCATGGCTGAGCCGCTGCCAGAACCCAAGAAGAGGCTGCTCGACGCTCAGGTGGAAATTACAATGTCATTTATCTTCTCCGTGTCCCATCCCCATCCATCCCACTGTCTTTCGTGCACTCACTACACCAGCCACCGAGCCCCATCACCATCTGTCTCTCATAGTCTGCAGTTTGTCCACTGGCTGCTCCTGGCAGCCCCCTAGTGACCCCATCTTCATCCCATCGTCTGTGCCTTTGTCACTCCTAGCAGCGTCAGCCCAACTCCTGTGCCTTCCCATCCAGTCTTCCCACTCCTGTCTGCATCTCGGGACCTTCTCTACCAGAACCTTGGTCTTTCTGCCCCTAGACCCCACCTAGTTCCGTGAACCCCTGCCCCTTCTTTGCCCACTCCTGTTCAACGCATGTTGTTCAGCTTCCTCTGAGCTCTTGGGCCAGAGGGCTAGAAGCTGCTATTTTCTGGAATAGAGCACAGGGCAGTATGATCTGTAGTTTCCCTAGGCCCTGGCCGGTACCCTGAAAACTTGGGGACCCCATCACCTCTGTTCTCTTGGCTCCCCAATTTTCCTGTCTCCTTGGCAGCTCCTGCATAGCTTCCTCTTCCTGACTCTTCAGATCTTGAAGGCCTTCCATCCTGTAACCTCCCTTTTCCCTCAGAATTTAAGTCCAGGCTCCCTTTGGCCTCCCTCTGGCCTCCCTCCCACTCTGGCCCTCATACCTTCCCAGCTGCCTGCTGCCCAGCCTCTCTTCTCAAAAGCCAGCTTCTAGGACCTCCCTTCTGCACCCTTACCCCTTGCTTTCCCAAAATTCTGCTCATTTTCCTACCCATACTCCTCTTTCCTCTGCTCTGACTGCTAGGCTCCCCCTGCCTGCCATGCCCCCACCAAGGCTCCTGACCCCATGACCCCACTCTCTCCCACTGCAGCTCCTCATCAGGTAATTCTCCTGGTTCCGCTTTGGCCACGGGCGGAGGACACAGGGGGAGGTGACTCCGGACCACTGCAGGTTGGTCATGAAGCCCACTCCCTCCAACACCTCCAGAGCCTCTCCCCTCTCACTGCTGCCCTCCACACCCAGAGAACCTCCACAGACTCCAGCCCTCCGACACCTCCTGTACAGACCCATCTCCCAAGACACCACCCAAAGACAGCATTTGCTGCTGCTTCCCAGAACTGTCCAACAATACCTTAGCAACACCAAGAGTTGGGCCCTAGATGGGCCCAGCACATTCACAGGTCACATCCACTTCCCTGCAAAACCCACCCCCTCCCAGCCTCCTCCTGACTCTAAGCCCTCCTCTTCCTCTACCTCTCCAGTGTATGTCTGTCACCCCCCATTTCACCAGAGTGTCCTTAGGGGCTGGGGGGGGTTTGTTAATGGGGTGGAGGCGATGATGGGTTGGAGGACCTTGGCTATAGGGGCTGTGCTGACTGCAGCAGGTAGGTTGGGTTTTCCTCTTCCTTCCCTAACATTGGTTCTCTACCCTCCTTTCCACTCCTCACCTGATTCTCTCTCTTCCTCCTCCTCACATCTGTGAGGCAGAACGCATCTGGAGCTCATATTGGCCCCCGTTGGGTGGGAATTAGGAGTGGGTAATTAACTCAGGGAGACTTGGGCTACCCTGGAAAAAATGCTATTGAGATGTCCTGACATTAGGCACGGTGGGTGGAACAAGAAGGAGCAAGAAAGGAACCTCAGGCAGATGTTAGGACATGGACTTGACCATGTGGCCTGGGAGTTTAGAAATGGGGAGAGACATCCTCCTAGATCAGATCGTGGGCTCAGTAGGCATGTTGTTTCCCAGGCAGAGGTGCCAGGAACAGCATGGTAAAGAACGTACTCTCAGAGCTCACATCCCCAGGTTGCTGATGCCACTCACTCCCCCTCTCCTGCCATTGAGTGGCCTTGCCGGACACATAACCCTACCTAAAAAGCCAGTAAATGAGAACCTGTCAGCTACAGACATTATTTCTGAGATGCGATTTTCTTTGGGATTGAGCTGTAGTGGGCAGTGGCTCCTTACACTGTAATTTTAACTCTGTCTGCCCAGCCTCTCTGTCAAAGTAGCTGGTGATCTATAAACAGATGCTAAAAGGCACCAGGGGACTTTGCCATTTAAAGGACTCCTGCAGTGAATTCTTTTGTAAAATGGATAATGGCACCGTAATTTATCCACTTTCTAAATTTGGGTCTATGGGGGTGTCCGGGGCATGCTTATGTGCTGTCACCAGCAGACAAACAGGGAATAGAATATGGGGGTTCCTTTCCTGCTCTCCCGCCATACTCAGGATACCCTACCATAAGTGATTTCCTCTCACTGACTTGCAGAAAATGTGTGAGATACCCAGCAAGCTAAGAAGGCAGTTTTGCTGGGTATCTCATACCCAAGGCTGGGGTTTGGGCGACCTGAGAGGTTAGCTCCTTAATCCTAGGATGGAAGGGAGAGCTTACATAGAAGCTTTTACTTGGAAGGTTTTGTATCTTAAGGTCAGACATAGCTATATTGCCAAGCCTAAATGCCATGTAGCCCAAGTAATAATTTGGATATTTGTTCTAAACCACTTGTGGTAGGTATTGGTCCCTCTGCAACTCAGCCATTAATTAAAAATTAGTTCTGAGCCTGAATTTTAAAAAGCCAAGTGTTGCCCCCAGCCCCCCCCCCGACACACACACCCGGATATGTACAGTACAAACCCCAGATAATTACAACAGCCAAAGAAGAGAGAAGGAAGTGAATTTCCCAACCAGAAGTGTAGGGAAATTCAGATGGCTTTCTTTTCTCCCAGCAGAGGAACAGAACTAAGGGCAGGAACCAGGAGTTGGTCCAGCAGCTATAGGAGGTGATGAGAGTAGGACCAGGGGTAGGAGTTGGGTCTGGTACCCCTCACCCTCTAATTGGGAGCCCAGGGAGAAGGACTGAAAAGAAGATGGGGGTGGAAAAGAATAAAGCCGGCTTCTGCTTCCCAGGGATGCAGAGATTGGGGCATGCTGTGTCTGCAGAAGCTCCTAGTCATTTCTGCCATAATTGTGAGAGAGAGGGGCAGCCCTCCCATAAGATTTTTCCCTTCCCGTATCACTTCCCTGAATCCCCTTCCTCTCCCCCCAGTACAGTTAAACCTCTCTCTAATTTGGAATGTTATATTTGAGAAGATGGCCACTGTGAATAAGTGACAAAACTGAATGACAGTGTCTATTTAATGAAATGCATGTCTTCAAAATATATACAGTAAGTAGAACTCGATGAACAAGGCTTTTTCCACTCCTCAGGGAGCATGCATTAATGAATAGATATGATTCAAAAGTCTGTTTTCTGGTATGGGTTAAATATCCCCTCCTACAGACATATTTCCACCACTAATTTGCTTAGTACACCTTTTCTTCACAGATAAAGGAAAACTCAAGCTCAGTTTTTGTTCAAATTACGAAGAAATTCCAAATCCACAGGGGTTTGGATTAATGAGGTTTTGCTGTACTGCCTCCCCTTATTCCTCAACATGAAGTTCCCCACCTAGGATTGGGGATGGGTGGGAGGGGGTTTCAAGAGGAGGAGGGTGGAATGGGCAGGAATATACATAGGTGAAGCCAGAGAAGGGTTAGGTTGGGGGTGCGGTGGGAACTTCCTGCTTTGATCTGGTTTCCTGGTGTGACACTCTGGGTTAAAGGCTTGAAGGCCCCTGTTAGGAGTCTAGGGGTGAGATTCTCTTCTCTCTGATCCCAGAGGACGTTAACTTCTACTGCAGGTGAGAAACAAAATAGGAGGATGGTGGGGACTGTCCTGGGAGGAGGAGGTGGTCCATGGCTTGTGGCGTGGGCTGGCTATAGGGGAGGCCACTGCTAGGGGACTGGCATCCAGGCCCCCTTGAAGCGTCTCAATAAGTCCGCGCTCTCCTTTTTGGTGTCTTGCAGGAGAGGCAGCTTCCCCCCTTGGGTCCAACAAACCCGCGTGTGACGCTGGCCCCACCGTGGAACGGCCTGGCCCCCCCAGCCCCACCACCCCCACCCCGGCTGCAGATTACGGAGAACGGCGAGTTCCGAAACACCGCAGACCACTAGCCCACCCAGCATCACAGACCTTCTCTTCCTTTCCTGTGCACCCCACCCTGTAACAGCACCAACCACCAGGACTGGACATCACCGAGGAACAGCGGGATTGCCTCCCCGAATGCCTCCCTGGGAGGCACACTGATTGCCCACCCCCCCCCACTGCACCATTTCCAGGAGGGAGAGCGGGGACCCTCAGCCGCCCCCTTTTCCTTCCCATTGGGGTGCTGCCCTCTCTTTGACCCCCAGGGACCCTTGCCCCAGGACACCGCCTACCCCACACAGACCCCTTCACTCCGGGGTGCTATCCCCATCCTCTGCCTCATCGTTCCCCTGAGCACTGGGGGACAGACCCTCACCCCCACCCTGGGGGTGTGGCACCTCCAAACTTTCAACTTCAGGGTGATTTTTTTAGCAGTAACCAGAGCTGACAATCTAACTCCCTCCACCGCCCCATTTTGGCCTCCCCTGCCCCCCTTGTTATGGGGAGGGGACCCCAGGTGAGGGGGCCCTATTACCCCTTGATTTCTCAGGAGCGTCTGGGGGGGCTCAGCACGCACAAACTCCTTCTCCTCCTACCCCTCTTAAATTTACTCCCTCCCCACCCAGAACCCAGATGGGGTGGAGGGGGCCACCGGGGCAGGGAGGGGGCGGCAAGGGGGGAATGGGAGTTGTCTCCCCTTCTCCCCACACCTGATCTGCTCTCGGCTGGTCCCAGAGCGGGGTGAGGGGGCTTATGCCCCCCCCTCCCCCAGTGTGTTGGGTGGGGTGGAATTGAGGTTAGGGTGAGGGGTCAGGGTTTAGGAGGGTGTGTATGTTGGGAGGACAGGCTAGTTGATCTGTCCTACTCTGACACACAGCCCCCCCCTGCCGCTCCCTTCTCTCTTCTTGGTCTCTACTCCCAGGGGGAGGGGGGAACTTACTCTAGGAAAAGCCATGTCTCTCTCCCCCGGGGTGGGGGGACCTGTGTTGGAGGAGGGGTGTTGGGGGACCCCCTTCCATGACTCTGTCCCCTGGGGGAGGTAGGACGGGGCTGGGCTTCCCTCTCATCCTCCCCCTCCCAATCTCCTTCCACCTCCCTCCCTCCCGCCAGCTCCACAATTTTTCGGTGTTTCTCTGTACATAGTTCTCTGGCGGGATAGGGGAGGTAGGATGGATGGGGTTTGGGGTGGGTAGGCCATGGGAGGGGAGAAGCCCCTCCTTGGCACCCCCTCTTCCCTGACTGCTGTCCCCTACCCAGCCTTGCTCCCTTCATCCTTTTGCGTTTGGTATTGAGACTCTCCTAGACTCTACTCTTTCTTTTGTATGGACAGTTTCCCTTCAGTCCCATCCCCCCACACATACACCCAGCCGGGGCCAAATTTATACTTATATAAAAGTTGTAAATATGTGAAATTTTATCCCTGTGCCCTTTCCCCACCTCAGGCCCTAGCCCTGGACCCTCCCCAACCTTCCTTCTCTCTTCTTTGGCTGTTGTAATTATCTGGGGTTTGTACTGTACATATCCGGGGTGTGTGTGTGTGGGCTGGGGGCAACCCTTCTGTACAGAGCTTCCTGGCCCCCTCCCCCCCCGCCCCTCTGCTTCCCTCCCCACCCACTACCTTAAGGGTAGGGAGATGCTCTTCCTACCTGTTTTATTTTGTTTTCTCGTTCTCCCTCCCCACCCCACTCCCAGCCTCATCTATCCCCCCCTCGCTGTCCCCTTTTCTCCACTCCCAGCCCCATTTCCTTTTTTTCTGGAGTGTGTGGTGAAACAGAAAAAAACATGTTTAATAAACGGAGATTGTTCTTTTATCGCTGTGCCGACTTTCTTAGGCAGGGCTCTCCAGACAGACCTGTACGGTGGTAAGATCTGCTTTCTGAAAGGAAGCTGACAGC